TTGACTAAACAACTAGCTATAAGTTCATCATTCAGCAAATCATTGATGTATATAAGAAATAGGAGAGGTCCTAAGATGCTGCCCTGTGGTACTGCTGTTAATGGTAGAGTGGGGGAGGTTATGTTATTGATGGCTACATATTGGTGTCTGTCACTGAGATAGGAACGAATATAGTTCAGAGCAAGGCCTCGGATACCATAGTGGTAAAGTTTAAGTAAGAGGTAGTTATGCTTTACAGAATCAAAGACCTTTCTCAGTTCAACGAAGAGGCCAACTGGGAACTCATTTTTGTCCAGGGCGGTGTAAATTATATTAAGAAGACTAATAATGGCATCATTGGTATTCTTTTTGGGAACGGAAGTTAAACTGGCAAGGACTTAATATGTTCTGAGTTTTACGTAGGAATAGAGATGTTTGTAAATAATGCTTTCAAATATTTTTGAAAGTATAAGTAGATTTGATATTGTCTGTAATTATTTATGTCAGCTGTTTCGCCTCCTTTATGAGTTAGCGTCACTCTTGCTTTTTATAAGGAAATCAGGAAAAGTCTGACACTGGAGATTTGTTGAATAGCAGAACTATGAGTAGAGCAAGAGCAGGGGCAGCACTCTTATATATCATAGATGGTATTTCATTAATGTTCCCAGCTTTAGTTTTAAGCGATTCAATTATGGATATGTATTCACCTAGTTGTGCTTGCGGGGGTTGAGCTCTACTCTTTCGGCCCGCTTCTCAATTGTCAATCGATCAACTGTTACTAACTACTAACTTTTTTCCACACACACACCCAGGAAGCAGCCCGTAACATCTGTATAACTCCAAGGTACCTATTTATTGCTAGGTAACAGGGGCATCAATGTGAAAGAAACTCTGCCCATCTGTTTCCGCCGGAAATCGAACCCCGGGCCACAGGACTACGTATCCAGCATACTGTCCACTCAGCCACCAGCGCCCTTGATGGTTGTCGGGCTGACTGGTAAAAGGAGTAGAGAGTTAGGATAGCTGCCTGTGAGATATGTAGTAACATGTGTCTGGATCTCTGGGATTTTTCTAGCAAGGTCAGCACCAATTGATGAAAAGAAGCTATTGAATTCGGTTGTAATTTCTAAGTTTGTTGTAAGTGTGTAACCATCTTTGGAGAGTTTTATCTGCTTATGTGATTGTTGTTTAGATCCTAGGATGTTAGTTAGTTTAGTTAATTATTTGCACCCCATACGTATCCTATGGGCGGTAGTGGAATGTGTTACTGAGGCACATAATAAGTAGGTAATACAGGGGGGGGGTAGAAATAGCCTAAGCTACTCTATTCCTTTGAGATGTATTTCTTTCTTGTCTCAATAAACATACTTGAACTTGAAGTAGGTAATTTATAGCAAAATTGAAAATATTAACAGGTACATTGTAAGAAAATTTGAAGAAAATTAGTAGGTACATTACAGTAAAAATTGAGGAATATAAACAGGTACATTGTAGCAAAATTTGAGGGTTATTTCTAGGTACATTATTTCTAAATGTATTCAAATTTGCGTTCAACATAACAGCCAAGATATAATTCAATTTCTTTCTTTATTATGCACCCCATACCAATCCCGTGGGCGGTGGTGTAAAGGATTACAGAGGCACATAATCAGTTCAGGAACTGAACCCTCTAGTTCGTTTAGCTAAGCAAATAACAATCTTTTGACGCTAGTTACAAAATTATTAATGATATATATATATATATATATATATATATATATATATATATATATATATATATATATATATATATATATATATATATATATATATATACATATATATACATGTACACATACTCATGCATACATGTACATATATATACGTATACATATATACATACACATACATATCTAATCACCCACACAAATACACACATGAATAATCTTTTGTGTCACAAGTGATTCAACAAGAGGCTCACAAGTCACTATACAAGGCACTTTACATCTATAGTGAGTCACACAGTTACTAGTCTTGCTGCACACCCACCCAACTGGGCGGCAGCTTTACAGTCATGTGCTCCACACCCACCCAACTGGGCTGCAGCTACAGTCATGTGCTCCACACCCACCCAACTGCAGCTTTACAGTCATGTGCTCCACACCCACCCAACTGGGCGGCAGCTTTACAGTCATGTGCTCCACACCCACCCAACTGGGCGGCAGCTTTACAGTCATGTGCATGCATTACTTACAGTAAGGAAATTTTGGATACTTCGTTAAGATTTCGGGCAGCACATCATTATGAATGAAGTACTTACACATTTCTTGGACACTATTGATGGTGTTATCTCTAAATTCCGCGATTTTTTCACATTCCATTATATAATGACGCAAAGTATGCGAATAGTTCTGCTGACAGAGTTTACATTTAGTCAAATCTACATCAGCAGATGTTACAAATTCCCAGAGGTAGTTGTAGCCGAGCCTAAGCCTAGCAATAGTAACATCTAGAAGTCTGCTAACCTTATTGGATGACCCATAGACGTGCGGTACTTCCTGCATAATAAAATGAAAATGATGGCAGTGATTACAACGGTGAAATTGTATGGATTAGGCACATATAATACATAATAAATATATAATAAATAAATAAATATAAATGTATATAATAAATATAAATGTATATAATAAATATAAATGTATATAATAAATATAAATGTATATAATAAATAAATAAATAACAAATAGTTTATTTAGGACCATAATCAAGTTTTTCTGGAATCCGTGAATCCGTCCTTTTACTGTGAGGACTTGTCCGGTTTCCTGCATTCGTGTATTTTACCTGGCATCTTTCTGCTGACACCACATAATTCAGCTTTTCGAAATGAGTTAGCGCAAAAGATAGCGGAGAACAATGATTTTTCCATATTTGTCCTCTGGCTTGAGTTCGTCGCATTTTCTGTAATTCTTGAGAATCGTTACAGCTGTCTCTTATATATATTCTTTGGGCCTCAGAATATATTCGTCTGCGAGGTTTGGCTTTGCTCTGATCTTGAGCTAGGGGTATTCTTTTTCAAGGTCCACTACTGTGGCGTACGAGGACATGCCATCACCATGCTGCACTTTTAATACTGCCAGTGGGGCTTTTGTCTGGGTAATTGGAGTATTTATCAGTTGAGACATCTTTTCTTTATAGGTCCTAGTGGAGTGGTTCGTCCTGTTGGCTTTGGTCACAGATGATAATTGTCGGAACTGTCGAGATTCTTCCTCTTGTAACTGGGAGCAGCAACATTGGTTCACACACAATTGGTCTGGTGGGTCATACTATCGTCCGGATGCTGACTGTGGGGGTGATGTGTCTGTCGTGTGACGGTGACGCGATCACTGTTGTTACAGTGTTACAGAGGCACATAATGGTCTCAGGGACTGAACCCCAACATGCTGAGCTATATGAATTGTGGGGGTTCAGTACCTGAATCCATTATGTACCACTGTAACACTCCATTACCAACATGGGTCACCACAGTTTTCCCACAGATGGCACAACGACCTAGCGTGTGTCCGTGTGAACCTGGGTCACCACAGGAGTTTCCCCACAGATGGCACCACCGACCTAGCGTGTCTGCCCGTGTGAACATGGGTCACCACAGGAGAGTTTCCCCACAGATGGCACCACCGACCTAGCGTGTCTGCCCGTGTTAACATGGGTCACCACAGGAGAGTTTCCCCACAGATGGCACCAACGACCTAGCGTGTCTGCCCGTGTGAACATAGGTCACCACAGGAGTTTCCCCACAGATGGCACCACCGACCTAGCGTGTGAACATAGGTCACCACAGGAGAGTTTCCCCACAGATGGCACCACAACCTAGCGTGTCTGCCCGTGTTAACATGGGTCGCCACAGGAGAGTTTCCCCCACAGATGGCACCACCGACCTAGCGTGTCTGCCCGTGTTCCCCACAGATGGCACCACGACCTAGCGTGTCTGCCCGTGTTAACATGGGTCACCTGAGGAGAGTTTCCCCACAGATGGCACCACGACCTAGCGTGTCTGCCCGTGTTAACATGGGTCACCACAGGAGAGTTTCCCCACAGATGGCACCACCGACCTAGCGTGTCTGCCCGTGTTAACATGGGTCACCACAGGAGAGTTTCCCCACAGATGGCACCACCGACCTAGCGTGTCTGCCCGTGTTAACATGGGTCACCACAGGAGAGTTTCCCCACAGATGGCACCACCGACCTAGCGTGTCTGCCCGTGTTAACATGGGTCACCACAGGAGAGTTTCCCCACAGATGGCACCACCGACCTAGCGTGTCTGCCCGTGTTAACATGGGTCACCACAGGAGAGTTTCCCCACAGATGGCACCACCGACCTAGCGTGTCTGCCCGTGTTAACATGGGTCACCACAGGAGAGTTTCCCCACAGATGGCACCACGACCTAGCGTGTCTGCCCGTGTTAACATGGGTCACCACAGGAGAGTTTCCCCACAGATGGCACCACGACCTAGCGTGTCTGCCCGTGTTAACATGGGTCACCACAGGAGAGTTTCCCCACAGATGGCACCACCGACCTAGCGTGTCTGCCCGTGTTAACATGGGTCACCACAGGAGTTTCCCCACAGATGGCACCACGACCTAGCGTGTCTGCCCGTGTTAACATGGGTCACCACAGGAGAGTTTCCCCACAGATGGCACCACCGACCTAGCGTGTCTGCCCGTGTTAACATGGGTCACCACAGGAGTTTCCCCACAGATGGCACCACGACCTAGCGTGTCTGCCCGTGTTAACATGGGTCACCACAGGAGAGTTTCCCCACAGATGGCACCACGACCTAGCGTGTCTGCCCGTGTTAACATGGGTCACCACAGGAGAGTTTCCCCACAGATGGCACCACGACCTAGCGTGTCTGCCCGTGTTAACATGGGTCACCACAGTAGAGTTTCCCCACAGATGGCACCACGACCTAGCATGTCTGCCCGTGTGAACATGGGTCACCACAGGAGAGTTTCCCCACAGATGGCACCACGACCTAGCGTGTCTGCCCGTGTTAACATGGGTCACCACAGGAGAGTTTCCCCACAGATGGCACCACCGACCTAGCAGACGACACGTTCGTCCGGATCCATGGCTGTGGCTTTGCCTACCCATGTTTTCTTTCAACAGTACTCTTTACATTTTAAATAATCACTTTTTGTTGATATAGTAAAGGTGAAGTGTTACCCGGGTGTGGGTGGGTAGGCAGAAAACTGATGGCAAGTATGTGGCGCAGAATGAAAATTAGATATGACGTAATACACGAACACCACTTGGATTTATTTACGTCTGCTTGGCATAAAAGGTAGTGACTGGCATAGTAGACTAAATGACTGGTTGCTGAAACCTCTAATTCAACGCCTGCTGCTCATCTACCCTAGTCATCAACCTGGTAAGCTTCAAAATTCGATGAAATGTTCCTATAAGGGAAGTAAATGGTATCTTATGAATAAGGGAATGTGTATTGGTGTGGTCAATGTTGGTTGGTGTGAAGGGCCTGGCACTGTGACCCTCCACAGGTGACAGCAGGTAGTTTATTGTCCACCTCGGCAGTGGTGGTCTGTGTCAAGGCCGGTGAGCGGTAGGGAGGTGGGCACTTATCATACAACAGACATGTTCCTCACATAAGTTGACAGAGAGAAGTAGTGGTCACTCCTTTGTCATGATGTTTTGGACTGTATCCTGTATCATAGTGGTTAGGACACTTGGCATGCAACAGATTGCACCTGAGTTCAATTCCCGGGCAAGATGAGGCATTAGAACACGTTTTCTTATGCCTAATACCTCTGATCACCCAGCAGTAATTCGGTACCTGCTAATTAGGCAACTGTTATTGGTTGTATCATGGGGAGGGTCGGTCATTGGCCTTTAGGGACCTTGATAAGCCTAAAAATCTTTGTTGCTGATAATGGGAAACATTAAACATTTTAGTGTTTTGATTTATGGTTGCTACATCATCTTCTTGAGGTTATCTTGAGATGATTTCGGAGCTTTTTTAGTGTCCCTGCGGCCCGGTCCTCGACCAGGCCTCCACCCCCAGGAAGCAGCCCGTGACAGCTGACTAACACCCAGGTACCTATTTTACTGCTAGGTAACAGGGGCATAGGGTGAAAGAAACTCTGCCCATTGTTTCTCGCCGGTGCCTGGGATCGAACCCAGGACCACAGGATCACAAGTCCAGCATGCTGTCCGCTCGGCCGACCGGCTCCCCACATACTGAAATGTTTTAGAAAAATGTTTAATTTGTGAGCTCCTTATCATGCCTTTTTTTCATAAACCAGAGATGTAGCAGTACATACTGGTAAGGTTATAGGTTATGAGAGCCACTTCGTCATTTCATATTTTGAGTCATGATATCACACAGATGTTAATAAAAGCTTTCCATGCTGTTTTGGGAAGCAATTGGAGAAAGTTTATCCTACTTCAGGAGTTCCAGTAACACTTGTGGTGAACACACTATGAACAAAATGACATTAACCTCGACACATTAATGAATGTTAGTATCTTTTGTCACTGAAAGGCATAAAATGTTTTGTACAACCTGTGCTTTAAAATAACCTAAGTAATAATAATAATAATAATATATAATAATAATAATGTTTATTCAGGTAAAAGTACATACATTCAAAATGAGTTACAAACAATGTTGGATATCTAGAGCTAGTACATACTATGTCTAAAGCCACTGTTACGCACAGCGTTTTGGGCAAGATGTGGGAAAAACACTTAGACTTAAACGGCTCTTGATCACATCTGGACCAACATAACCTCTCCATTTACTTCAGGGATAATCATCGATAGCACTACAGACCATTACCCCACATTTCTCCTAACCAACATTAACAAACCACCTCTAGATACAAGGAAGATAAGCTTTAGGCTGTACAATGAAACTTCTATAGGCAATTTTATAGCTGCTGCTGCTAATATCAACTGGGAATCTGAATTAGGGAACATAGGGGACATCAACCTAGCAGTGCAATCATTTCTTCAAAAAACTCTCAGCCTTTATAACACCCACTGGCCTATGCTAAAGAAACAAGTCACAACTAAAAGGCTAAACAATCCTTGGCTTACAAAGGGGATACTTAAATCCATTAATAAAAAACATGACCTCGAGAAGAAGTATAGGTTAGGAATCGTCTCCAAAGAATTCTCAAAGAATTACTCATCATTGCTATCTAAAATAATTAGGAGAGCCAAAATTAAATACTACGAAGACAAATTTACCCACGCAAAGGGCAATATTAAGAAAACATGGAGCACAATTTCTCAAATATTGGGATCAAAGAAGATTATAAATAATAATCCAAGACTCCTATCAAATAATGATGGTCTGCTTTCAGCCTCTGACACTGCTCTTGAGTTCAATAGGTTCTTCTCTTCCATTGGGTCATCCCTTACAAGTGATATTCCATCGTCCAGTACTAATATTCAGGACTATCTTACAGGAAACTATCCACAGTCTCTGTACCTAATGCCTACTAATTCTACTGATGTTACTGACATAATCCTTCCCCTTAAAACCAAGTCTAGTGCCCTTGAGGAGACACCAACTCTTATTTACAAAAAAGCCTCCAGATTTTTAGCTCCTGCTATTGCATTGCTCTTCAACAAGTCACTTGAACTCCAAACCTTTCCAGATATTCTAAAAAAAAGCGAGAGTAATCCCTGTCCACAAATGTGGTGATCCCACTGATGTTAACAATTTCAGACCTATATCAATTCTGCCAAACTTATCACAAATATTTGAAAAACTAATCTATAAGCAGCTTTACTCTTATCTAGCCAAACTCAATATACTTTGCTCCTGTCAATATGGCTTCAGACCCAAAAAAAGCACTAACGATGCACTTATTAGTATGATTAATTTGATACATGCAGCTCTTGATAAAAATGAGTTACCTGTTGGGTTATTTGTAGACCTGCGTAAGGCTTTTGACACTGTTAACCACCAAAACCTTCTTAAATTATAACATTATGGAGTCAGAGGTCACTCCCTGCAGTACATTAAGTCTTACCTTACTGACAGGCTCCAGTATGTTTCTGTGAATAATTCAATTTCTCCCACCCTACCTATCAACATTGGTGTTCCCCAGGGCAGCATACTTGGCCCTCTCCTCTTTCTCATCTACGTTAATGACCTTCCAAATGCCTCCCAACATCTCAAACCAACTCTATTTGCTGACGATACGACCTTCATTTACTCCAGTCCTGACCCCCTTGCTCTAAATGTCACAGTGAATACTGAGCTAAATAAAGTCCATCACTGGCTAACTGCCAACAAACTCACCCTCAATATTGACAAAACTTTCTATATTTTGTTTGGCAATAAATCCTCAAATCAAATAAATCTCAGGATTAACAATACCCAAATTTGTAACAAAGTAGATGGCAAATTCCTTGGCGTTCTCGTTGACCACAAGCTGAATTTCCAGGGACAGATTCTAAATACCTGTATATAAAAAAAAGTTTCTAAAATTGTTGGCGTTCTTTCTAAGATCAGATATTATGTACCTCGCCCTGCCCTGGTGACACTCTATTATTCTCTTATCTATCCTTATCTCAACTATGTTATTTGTGCTTGGGGTTCTACTACCCAAAATCATTTATGTCCTCTAATTACTCAACAGAAAGCTGCTATTAGGACAATATTTCACTCTGGCCCGAGACATCACTCATTGATCCCTTACTCAAATCTCTGCATATGTTAGATATTAAGTCCCTGCACATCCTCTCATGTGTATTATATATTTATAAGATGCTGAACTGTAAGTCCTCCTTAAAAGCTTCCTAGAAGGTCGTAACAGATCCCATGAGCACCACACCAGAAACAAGTACCTATTTGATATTCCAAGAGTACGACTTAGTCAAACTAGAAATGCTTTACAAATCAAAGGACCTCGAATGTGGAATGATCTTCCCAATTATGTTAAAGACTGTACCTCTCCCAACCAGTTTAAGATAAAAACTAAGTACTACCTAATTAACTCAATGTAACCTACCTCACCCCCAAAATGTCAACCCATGTCTTCTATTTTAAACAGTGCTGTTTTGTTGACCAAATTGTATTTTTGTTTTTTTCTGCCATGTTTCCTCCCCCCCCCCTTTTTTCCATTCTTTTCTTATTTTTTCTCAACACAATTTATACTTTAATCTCAATTAGTATTAAGTTTTAGTCTTAGTGTTTTTCCTGCTCGAAACGCTTTGTGTAATAGTGGCTTTAGGCATTGTATGTACTAGCTCTATCTATAAATCCATCAACTTTTGTATCTTACCTTGTATGTATGTACCTTACTTGAATAAAAATTTATTTATTTATTTATAAACTTAAAACTAATTGAGATCAAAAACATAAATTGAATTGAAAAAGGGGGTAAAAAAGAATGATAATAATTGCATGTTGGATGAAATAGCAGAAATTACAACAGAACAGCAGAAGTAATTCTAACTAAATAAACAGAAGACTACAATTTTCTTTAAAGTTTATACATGGCAAATACGTATCTGCTTGCTTGCCAGGAATCTGGTTCTTTCCCAGTTGGCCGGGTTCGGGTTCCTGGTAAATTGGCGGAAATTCCAGTTAGTTCCATCCCAGGTTCAGCATTAGCTGGGATTCTTGGACTGCATCCATTTCTTTCCCTCCTGCAGCTTTGATCCAGCTGCAGTCCTTTTTTTTGGCTGTTTCTGAGGGGGTCCCATGTAACTGGGCAGTTGCTCAAGCAGCTGTGAGGGAGCTTGAATTTTGCTCTTCTGGTATTTTTGTTGGGCAGGATTTGGCTTTGGAGGCTGTTCTGGTATCTTTGGAGCCGCCTCTTTCCCCGTGTTCACGATCGTTGGGTTCACACCCCGGTGTCCTTGAGCCGGTTGCTGCGTCGCCGACTTCCTCTTCAGGTTTTTTTTGGAGTTCAGTGCCATGGCGCTTTCCCCGTCCCTCGCTCGATGTGTTCATGGACGCCTCATCTCTGGGTTGGGATTTTGTGACCATGGCTCACCAGTCCGGCCAGGGGCATTGGGGGCCCTCCTTCTCTCGGGCTTACAGCACAGTTCGGGAATTTGTGGCTGTGTGACATGAGCTGCGCCAGATTCGGCTTCCTCGGGGCTCTCTAATCCAGCTCCATTCATCCTCAGGGTTCTTTGATCCTGCTTCATTCAGACTGCTCCCCCATGGTTTATTGTCTCAATTGTGGGAGGGGGGGGTATCTTCGGTCCGTGGCTCTTTGGGGCTGGTCGCTTCGGGTAGCTCCTCTGCTGAGTTCTTGGGGTTTAGCTCTCTATGCTGAAACATACTTCGCCTTGAGTCCTGCGGAGCTGCCACCTCTGGGTTAGTTCCTGTTTCTCCTTCTCTGTTGGCTTCAGGGAGCCAACTGGGCTACCCCAAAAAAACAGCAT